TTTGCCGATCGACGATGGTCGACGAGTAAAACTGATGGATTTAGAATGTTGATAATATCAATTTACCGAGAGTTTGCACACAGAATACGGAAAAAGAAAAACGTGTATCGTTTTGACTCCTCAACAAATTTTTCATGATTTCGTTATCGTTCATTGTTCTGCATTTTAGCAAATTTAAATTGTCTTTGTGGAAAACTACTTTTCAAGAATAAATAATTATTTAATTGTCTTTCTTTCTATTGGAGAAACGACCCTTCGACGCTGAATGTCAAAGAGTATTTTATGTTCAACCATAAGGGTTGGTCGGATCAGTTGTCAGGGTTATCGAGGGGAATCATCTTTCCATAACATCTTCGACCAGAAAGAATGTTCAAAGACAGAATGTCAAGTCGAAAGAAGCAGCGTGTCGCTTTTTTTTTTTATTGCTTTATCTCCGCTTGGTGTCGGACAAAATGTCAGTCATTCGCTCGCCACGAAACAGACAGTGATTAAGGACACATGTACACAGTCGTTTAGAAATTTTTCGAGCACCTCTTTTCAAATAAATTAAATATCAATCTTTTTAAATAAAATTTTAGAAGTCAGTACGCTCTATGAAATTATACTTGCAAAAATTGAAATTATGATATAAAATTATAATATTATTATATTATGAATTACAATATAATTATAATAATTACAATAATTAAATTACACTACATTTCGCTTTTGGTATTTTGTAACTTTGTACTTTTCTCGCGTAATTAATTCGCGTATATAGTTTTTCATAGAAAATGAAAAAGCTAAAGCTACTAAAGTCGTATCATGATTCATCTACATCAAACGTTATGTAATTTATTAATTTAATTCGTTTGCCCCTAAATCTCTGAATACACGCGACAAAAAAACGATGACAATAGTGAAGATGTCACGTGAGAAACAAGAAGCCTCGAGAAAGAGCAACGTGTCTCTTTCAAGTGTACTTTCATCCAATTTGTAATAAAAATGCGCTCCAGTCCTTTGGATATATATTACATTATTATTACATAACGCAGTCTAATTTAATTTTCATTAGATTTAATTTTAGATAACGATTTCTTGAATTGCTGTCGTTCACTGAAAATTCGATAAAACGACGGGAAAAAAGCGATCGTTGTAAAGTCAATTATAATTTCAATCATATTTTACATATAAAATATCTGTTTCAGTTTTTCTCATCATTGAAACAGTAGATGGTTTTTTCCTACCTTCGTATATTTAATTCAAATTTTTTGCAATCAGTCTAACGACATGCAATAAGCTATATGTTGTTAGTTTTTTAACGAAATGTAATTTTATCTCCAAAAAAAGAAAAAAGTTCTCGAATCTTTTTTATTTTACAATCACTTTGTTCAAAGGTGTGCGTAAATCTCTTAACGGCGGGGAGGTTAGGATTCGACGTGTCGGCGCATACGATCGAGAGTCGAGTCCCTCGTGGAAAAGGAATCTCTTTCAATGAAGTCCGGGGGAGATACGGATCTTCGATAAGCAGGTACACCGAACGATATCATCTGACCGTGTAGTTTACACAACCAGAGGAAAGTGAAACCAGTTTCAATACCGGAAAGTGTCCCTCACCCCTTTATTTCGACGTTGGCGCAGACTGGAATGTACACGTGTACACAGTCTGGCCAAACTGTCCCCCGACACTTCGTAGGGATACGACATTTACGAGTATATTACGAGTGTATTACGAAATTAGGATGACCAATAATTAATGAATCGAAATCACCGAAGACCACTGCTGTTCTACACTCTAATCTTTACATCTTTGCCAAGTGCAAATGTAAATATTTTGCACGTGCAAAACACACATATTTATAGAGGAAAAGAAAAAAAAGAGAGAAAAAAATATATATATATACTATTATACTAAAAGAAAGAATATATATATATAATACATATATCATACTACCATGAAATTGTATTGAACGAACGTTGTTTAGAGAGCAGTTCTAACCGAAGTTTCTAAGTCACTGAGTTACCGAGGGCAAACGCGTGCTTCCCCCTCCCCTCAATCCACAACAAACCGTGTACGCGTGCGCAAAATTCCAAGCTGCGCCATCTTTGTCCCTCCGTAACGAACGACAAAGCACTACGGTGCCCTTTTCACATTTAAATATCGTAAAGTAACCAGGTAAAAGGCGCGCGTACACTGAGAAATCGTTTGCGATACCGTGCACGCCCGGTATGCCTATGAAAAATCCCGCGGTTCGATATGGTTGTACTAGAAGGGAACTGTTGAAAATTCTCCTCGAGTGGACACGTATCTACCAGCTGATTTGCACACGAATGCAACGTGATTCCGTGAATACGAAGAAAAATAGGAACAATACCGTACATACAGGCGAGAGACGCTGAAACCGGTGAGAACTGAATGGTGGATTCTGTTATGAATCGTTCTCCCTCCCATGGAAGGACGAAGTTACACACATTTAGATATCATATACATGTGCAAGTTTGCTTTAATCTCTGCTGTTTCCAACAGTTAATTTCGTTCGTTTCCAATGATTAAAATTTGATACAGCAGTCACGATCGAGTCGCGGAGCGACGAAGATCAGTGCAGTTTTGGAGGTTAGTTTCCTAGAATTGAATTTAATTCGAGTGTGACAGGGTCATTAACTTTAACCCACTGCGTTCTATTTTAAGTTTTTATACGACGATAACGCAACATTGGCAAGTATTCAAATACCATCTATTGTTCCATTCATTGTCCTTCAGGCTGTTTCACTACGGACAGAGCAGACTAAAGTTAAACTAGATATTTTAATGAACTTCAATATTTCAAATGAAAACATTAGATCATAAAAGAAAAAAAGAATTGGAAATCAGTGTTGAGTACATTTGAAATTATTAAAATTAGTAGTAAGAGTAATTAAAATTTATTCAAAAGAATCAAATATCATTGAAAATTTATTTTATTACAGTGATGTACACAAGTATGCTGTGTATTATTTGTAATTATTTGTATACTGTAAATTATTCATTTCAGACATACGAGTGAAGATTATTAATTGAGACGATAATTGTTCAAGGCGTATTATTTTCTTATTTAGAATAATATTTCACGCTTCGGAAACTTGCATTGACGTCAAATATTATTTTAGAATTTCATTCGTGTATTGTCGTGAAAAATACGTAACTGAAATTGAATTAGAATTGAAAGTATATCAACTAATTCAAATTAATTGAAAGTAAAATAGAATTAGTTCAACTGATATTTCAATAGAAAAAGAAATAACTTTCTCGAACAAGCAAATGAAATACTAGGCAGAAAATAATCTCTGTAAATGTATTCGCATTTCATTCGAAATACTATTTTACCCGGTACCTCACCCATCTAACCTAATCTAACCCAGTATATTATTTTATTTGAAATAGTACTTTACCCAATATGTCTTATTTCATTTGAAATATCACTTCTGCCCTTTGTCTGCTAATTCAAACTCTATCTGATAGCTTGTAATCGAACAGCAAACAAAAATCCATCGCACGTTGTTCAGTACCACTCGAAAGTTAACTTTCTCATGAATCGTCATTTAATTCGTCCGTCATAAACGTCCCAACAATCGCGAAGCCCGAAGTTAATTCTGGTGGCGAATTCTTGTTTTCCAGTGACCTCCTCGATGAGTTCGGCCTTACGTAAGGTGCTCGGATCTTAAAAGACTGACGACAGAGAAATTCTCTGCTCGCTGCCAGACGCGTCTCCGCTCTTTTTCTCTCTCTCTCTCTCTCTCGGTCCTGGTCGACGTTCGCACAATTCACGGGGGATCTCGCTCCCATCTCTATGACAAACGTCTCATCTAGCATAGGGCGAGGGGAGCACGCGTACCGAAAATAGACGGCGACTAAATATACGCCGGTGCACCGGTCGGGCCGACGAGCCGAAAGACAAATGAGGACTCGCTACTCTGTACCTGAACGTGCAAACTCCGCTGCTCACAAAAGTTCATTGCTTTCTGCCGCCGGATTCCGGGTCACGTCGTCATCCCCCCCCTCTCACTGTCTTTGGCCCACCCCTTCCTCCTGTCCAAATTCACAACATTCTCACGCGTCGTGACGAAAGAGAGACTCGAGAGAGACACAAACTGAACAAGATAGATGGACGAAGACACGAATTATGTATTAAAATTATATTTATTGTAATAATATTATTTTACTGTTAAATATATTAAATATGACATTAATATATTAAATATGATATTAAATATGATATTAAATATACAATTAAAATTATTTATAATATTTATTAATATTAATAAGTTAATATACAGTAGTATTATAATGAAAATATATTATATTATATAAAAATATATTAAATATGACATTATTAAAATTATAATGTAATAAAAATAATGTTATGTTAAATTATTTTTTATTATTATAGTAAAAATATGTTGTATTAAATATAATACAATAAAAGTAATATTAAAAATATGTTGTATTATAATTATAATATAATAAAAGTAATATTATGTTAAATATTATAATATTATCATAATAAATATACAGAAGCACAGAGGAGGGGACATTTACAGACACGTTGGATGGAGGGACAGGTGGTAATTTTCTCTTTCTGTGTAGTTGCTGCAAGACTGATTAAGAATAATAAATTTCTATATAAATTTTTGCAACTTTTGCAAATTTCCTTTTGCTCAATTTTACATTGCCACGATTGCTTTTTAATTAAATCTTGTCTTTAACTTATTACGCTGGAATGACATGTCACGTACGTCGAGAATTTCTTTTTCTTTTCTCTCAGTTTCAAGCAATATTTAAATGCGCCGGTAATTACGAAAGTGATCTAAATCAAGAAAAAAAAAAAAAAATGAGTTTATTTCGCGTTACATTCTTTTAAAATAAAATAAAATCTGAACGTAATTTCTAAGAAGCTGTAAAAATTGAACCTGTTTAAAATTGAGTTGGCTGTCGCGTCGTTGAACTGAATTCAGTTGATATTCATTTTTGATAGTGGACTAAGTCAGTTGCTATCTCTTCTGAGTTTGTTATTTGTGCAAAAATAATTCATTATTTTACTATCAGGCACTCGGAAAAGTTGTTGCCGATTTTTATTGGCCATAATAATTATTCTAGGGATGAAAATTCTTATCTTACAAGACCACAGTATTACCTGAAATTACATTTTGTTTCACAGTCTGAAAATATTTGTCAATTTATTCAAATGTAAACCTTTAAATATCTTGAAACGAGAAATATACGACTCAGGCCACTTTCATAATCACCGGCAGAAATACAGAGTGTTTCGTAACTTGTGGGACCCACTTCGGGAGCTGATTGTACGCCTAAAAATAATGAAAAAAAGTCATATAAATATATGTCCCATCTGTCTTCGTTTATGAGATATAATGAATTTTATAAACAGAGCAAACTCTAGTAAGTTAGTTTTACCAGGGATGGTACATTCAATTTTCATAATAATCATAATTGGGACGAAGAAAACCCACATGTTATTGTGCATTCAAGACATCAACACCAGTTTAGTTTAAACGTATGGGCAGGAATAATTGATAAA